TTTATCCCATAGGGTTTGGGATGGGTGCCAGGGTCACCTAGTGGGCCAAGATGGTGATTGCAACCAAGGTGGCTGTGGTCGCATCCAACTGGGCCCCCGGCCACAAAAGTGGGATTATGTGCAGGGAGGACAGGGTATGGCTTGTTGCTGGGCACCCAGGCCTCTGAGATGGTGGAGCGGCAGCACGCGGGCTCGGCGTCCGCAAGGCCAGCGCCCAGACTGTTGCCCGGGGCAACGCCGGCTGGAGTCTAGTGAAGTTTCTACCGAACCCTGACGTAGTTTCCCTTTGAGAACGGAATTTCTGACCCAGGCCCACTGGTTTAAACAGGTGAGATCCAGGATGGCTGCCAACATGACCTCTACTCTCCTTGGAATCTCATTTCTGTGCAAACACTCACTCCACTGGCACCATGACAATAGACAGGTGTCACGACAGTGGCAGAGAGACCATAAGACTAAAAGAAGGCAGCTCCCGGGCCCCAAGAAGGACACTGAGCCTCCTGTGGAAAACCGTGTCTGTTCCCCCCATTCCTGTTGCCCCCCCGCCCCCATGCGTGACGACTCGTCTCCAGCACGCGGAGAGGTTGATTCACCTGCTGGATTCTCGCCTCTCCGTAGCTCGTGCTGCTTACGCTCAGCTTCAGCTTCATCATTGGCTTTGGGACACCAGATAGACAAAGGACCAGCTTTTGGGGTCCCTCACCCCTAAGGAAAGTGGGTAACAAAATGAGAGGCCACACGCTCAGGGGAAGCCTCCCAGGAGTAGGTGGGAGGGCTCCTGTGCACGGCCAGGCCATGGTAGCTCCATGGAAAAAGGTGTGGTGAGGCCTAACTTCCTGGCCAGGGTTGGCATTCAAAGGCGGGGACTGAGTTCGGGTCTCAGACACCCACTACATCCTGTCCGGGAAGAAGCAGTGCCCAGGAACCTCCTCCCCGCCGCCTGTTCCCCTCCCCCATTCTCTGATACAGGTGCTCGTAAGTGTAAGAAACTGTGATGGGGGGGGAGGGGCTGGGGGAAGCAGCCTTCAGCTGGGAGAATCTTCTGCTCAAACAGCCTGCGCGGGGTCCAGTCCAGCCTCTGCCCTGACCACTCCAGGTTCCTCTGTAAGATGGGGGTGAAAATGTTAGATCTCTAAATCCCCTCCTAGCTCTGGAGAGCAGATGTTTCCTTCAAGGGAATCCTGAGCTCACTTGGTGGAAAAAAAAAAAAAAAAGCCCTTGAAAGGACAAGTTATTCATAAACCCCGATGGCAGGCAGCCTGCCACAAGACAGATCATCACCATCATCACCATCTTCATCCTGTCCATCACCATCACCATATCATCGTTCTGTCCATCATCATCACCGTCATCATCTCATCCCGTCCATCATTATCACCATTGCCATCATCACACTATGATCCTGTCTCTCACCATCACCACCATCATCACCATCTTCATCCTGTCCGTCACCATCACCAACTTCATCACCATCATCACCATCACAATCATCATATCACCATCATCACCATATCATCATCCTATCACCATTTCCATCCTGTACAACAACCCGAGGGCACTGTTGCATCAGAAGAGTTCACCTCCACCATCTCCTTGTCTTCTCACCTCGGTGCTACTGGTAGAGTTTGGTTTTCCTGGACAACAACCAGTTCTCCAATTCTCCACCACTAACTGGGTGCCCAAAATCCCATTCAGAGTTAGTGCAGTCCCCACAGGTTAAGGGCTCAGCCCCACTTCTGCAACCAGCCCCAGAAGGGGTCCCCTGACCACCTGCCCTTCTATCCAGCCATTCCCAAGTTGAATAATGTGCTATGATGACTCACAGATCTCAGGAACTTCTACTTCCAAGTACAGGTTATATGAAAGATGCAAATGAACAGCCAGATGAAGGGGTGCACAGGGCCAGGCCTGCAGGGATCCTGAGTATGGGAGCCTCTGTCCCCTATGGAGTCATTGGCCACCTCCCAAGACACAGAGGTGTGTAGCAACCTGGGCACTCCCCAGACCGTGTTTCTTGAAAGTTTTCATTGGTGTTTCGTTATGGAGGCATGCCTGATTAATTACAGGCAGGGGCAGGAAGGTGGGGAGGGGGCACTGCAAGTCCCACCGACTCCTGGGCAAGTGGTCCTTGCTTCCTCACTGACCAGCCCCCATCCTGAACTCTCTGGGGACCCTGCCACGAGTCAACCCCATCAGCCTGAGCTGAGGTTGGGCCAAAGGGATTTCTGGTGCAAAACAAAGGTATTCCTACCACTGGAACATTCCCGATTTTAGGAGCTTTGTGCAGAGAACCAGGGACACACCAGATAAACACATTTTATTCTACTGCAGGCAGGGGCTATCGTTGGCTACATTTTTCAGGTGGGAGATTAATATCGCAGGCACAGAGATGTTAAATAACTCACCCTAGGGTGCACAGCTAGTTACAGCAATAGCAAAATTTGAACCCAGACAGCCCAGCTCCAAGGGCCACCCATTAGCCAAGGACACCCCATGGCCTGGTGTGCAGGACTCTGGGGAGGGAATCATGAGCACAGCCTTTCTCCAAACGTGGCCCTGAAGTGTCCCTGCAGAGGGCAAGGCACACAGCCCCCTCCCCAGGACAAAGAGTGTCACTGGACTCAGCTGGGAGCTGAGAAAGCTCTGACCGGGAGCTGCTTTCCTGGTGCCAATGTTCCCACCAAGGCTGACGTCCCCGACTGCAGCGTTGGAAGCGTGGGCATAGTCAGCCGGTGCCAGCCAAGTACACCGCCCGGGGGCAGCCCTCTCGGCCTGCAGGGTTCCTGGTGCTCCGGCAGGTCTGCGGTGAGGAGACAGCTACCTCCAGCTTGGGTGCCTGATTCCAACAGCAACACCCAGCCAGGCAGAAGCTTCCGTCCAGGGGATTGGGCTTGACCTAGAGCCCGGCCTGAGCAGATGGCCTTGTGTCTTTCCAGCTTGGTGGGCAGACCACCTGTGGCTGCCCATGTCGCACCCTGAGGCCACAGCTCTGTCCTCACCAGGAAGCCTCGCACCTGTTCAAGCTCAATCAAAGGCATCTGCCGTTGCTCCCACCTCAGCTGTGCATTTAACCTCCTGGCGGCTAATTTACTACTGTTATTTTTAAAAGATGTATTTATTCATTTGGAAGTCAGAATTACAGAGAAAGAGGGAGAGAAACAGAGAGAGATCTCCCATCTGCTGGTTCACTCCCCAGATGGCCACCACAGCCAAGGTTGGGCCAAGCCAAAGCCAGGAGCCAGGAGCCAGGAGCTTCCTCCAGGTCTCCCACTTGGGTGCAGGGAACCAAGCACTTGGGCCGCCTCCCCTGCTTTCCCAGGCATTAGCAGGGAGACTGATCAGAAGAGGAGCAGCCGGGACTTGAACCAACGCCCACATGGGACACTGGCTTTGCAGCTTTACCCACTACGCCATAGTGCTGGCCCCTGGGGGCTGTTTTATCCAGCATCTCTGTGTGTTTCAAGGCTCTGATTGTGTGTGAGTGTGAGTGAGAGTGTATGAGTATGTGTGTGAGTGTGAGCATGTGTGAGTGTATGTGAGTGTGTGTGTGAGTGTATAAGAATGTGTGTGTTAGTGTATTGTGTGTGAGTGTATGAGTATGTGTGTATGAGTATGTGTGTGTATGTGTCTGTGAGTGTGTGTGAGTGCATTGTGTGAGTTTATGAGTATGTGTGTGTGAACATGTGTGTGTATGAGTGTATGTGTAGGTGTGTGAGTGTGTGTGAGAGAGTGTATGAGTGTATGTGTAGGTGTGTGAGTGTGTGTGAGAGAGTATATGAGTGTGTGTGTGTATGAGTGTGTGTGTGAGAGTGTATGAGTATGTGTGTGAGTGTGTGCTGAGACAGCAGGCTTCCCACTCCATCACCAGCACGCTTAGGGGAATTTGTTTAAAGGTGCTTTTTTAATTGTATTTTTATAATTGTCTAGGTATTTATTTATTTACTTTTTGAGAGAGAGAGAGAGCATCCACCCACAGGTTCATTCCCCAGCTGCAGTGACTCCGGCTGGCTCTGGAGCCAGAGCTGAGAACGGAGTCGGGTCTCCCCCAGGGCGGCAGGGACCCATCCACAGAGTCACCCTCACATGCTGCTTCCCAGGTCTGCGTGGCCGGAAGCTGGAACCAGGATCAGAGCCAGGCATGGAACCAGGTATTCCAAGACCCAGAATACCAGTTAGGAGACTTAACAGCCAGTCCAAATGCCCACTATGGCAATATTTACTTATTATTATTTGCTTATATCTATTTTCTGGTGTTAACAAGAATCTGAACCTCCTCTAAACATTTTTTCCCTAAAGATTCATCTATTTTTTTAAAGCAGAGTTAAAAGAGAGAGAAGGAGAGACAGAGAGATCTTCCATCCACTGGTTCACTCCCCAAATGGCCATAACAGTCAGGGCTGGGCCAATCCAAAGCCAGGAGCTAGGAGCTTCTTCTGGGTCTCCTACTCAGGTGCAGTGGCCCAAGCACTCGGGCCATCTTCCACTGCTTTCCCAGGCTCATTAGCAGAGAGCTGGATTGGAAGTGGAGCAGCCGGGATGTGAACTGGCATCTGTATGGGATGCCAGTGCTTCAGGCCACGGCTTTGACCCACTGAGCCACAGCATCAGCCCCTCCTGTAGACACTGGGCCGCATTTCTGCCGGGCTTTCACCAGGAAGCCGAGGTTCGTTCACATTTCTGCAGTCACCGTTGGAGGACTTTGCTTCCCACCCAGCATCTGGTTCACCTGTTTTGGGAACAGCAGCACAGCTCTCCTTTGGGAAAACCACGCCCTCTGCTGGCGGGGGGGGGGGGGGGGGGATGCATCGTGTCCCCACGTCCCCACTGCAGGGGAGTGACTCAGGCCTGAGCACTCGGGATGGTGTGCCCCAGGCTGCAGGGACGCGTCACAGATGGGCAGCAGCCAGAGAGCCTGTCCTGAGATTTGCTGTCACCACAGAGGACCAAGGAGGGCTTCCAGTGGCTTGAAGCCACTAGGCTGTGTGTCTGGAGCTGTTAGCCACCCCTGTATTGAGGAAATCTTCCCGAATATCCAGCCGTCAGTGAAAAAGATGAGCAGAAAGATAGAGACAGACGGAGACGGCCAGTGAGAGAACTGACCCTTGAAGGCATGTTTGGGAACCCACAAGCAGAACCTGTCCCCTGGACCTTGCAGAGGGACAGGCTGCGTGGGGCAGCGGCTGGGAAGACGGCCTTAGCATGAAGACAGTGCCGCCGACGGCACAGAGCTGGGGCCTGGGTTAGTACAGTGGGCCTCAGAACCCCGTTAACCAGCCAGTCAGTGTACTGAAAATCCCTCCTGGGTGTGAGAGCGCTGGAGAGCTTAATCCAGACTCAGGGCTCAATCACAGCAAGACCGAGAATTAGCTCCTTATTCCCTCGGCTTCCCCAGGTGTAACATGGGCATCGCAGGAGATCTGCAGCTCCCTGGTGCCGTTAGCTGATAAGCCTGGAGGAGCACAGACACAGAGCCCGGAACCTTCCACTGCAGCCGGCTTCTTAACAAAGACCATCACGCAGGGAGGTGTATGCGGGCTTTTCTGAGCCACACAGATCTTTCCCGGCCTGGTTGAGCAAAAAGAATACAGAGAGGGTTGGTCCTGTGTCATAAGGGGCTGACCCCACAGCCAAAGATGTCCAGGGCTAGGAGAGGCCCAGGCCCTGGCCTCTACAGCTTCCTACTCATTGCCGTAGGGGGACACAGCCCCTGCAGAAAGAGCGGCTGAAGTGGGGTCCGGAAGCCCTGGTGTGGACAGAGAGGTGCTGGTGCGGTCCCTTTAAACACGATTCAAAGCCAGCACCTGTGTCGTTTCCTCCCTCGCCAGAGCCACAGCCCCCGTGACCCCTCACGGCTGCACCTGCACCAGCATCCACACCTCCAGCTGTCCCAACACACCTGTTTCTCTCTCCACATTCCTGCAAACTCACCTGCAAAGCGCCCCGCAGACTCAGCCCTCTTGGGCAGCGGCCCAGCAGGTGCATGTCCTTGCTCTGAAGGTACCTGTGACCTCACCGGCTGCCCACAGCCTCCTGTGACCTCACCGCCTGGCCAAGTCAGCCCAGCAGAGCCATGGCCACTCCCCTGAACCACCACAGCTGGCAGAGGGCATAGATGAACACCGAGGCCCCGGGAGAGGCCCAAGCTGCCATCAACCCCCACCATGGCCCTCCCGAGGCCACCCTGGGCAGCGCGGCACACAACAGGTCTGCAGATGGCCCAGCAGCAGGGGCCCAGGGCCAAGACGCCGCCCGTGCAGATGGCTGGTCGGCCCGCAGCGCCACAGCACCCGACAGCCTGCAGGATCTAGACCAGCCCACTTCCCAGGCCACGTCACCATCTGGGCCCAAAGACAAGGAGGGAGCTGCTCCAGGTGATGGACAGGAGCCTGCACAGGTCACGTCTCTGCTTCCCCAAGAGCCTGGTGCCCTGCAGGTGCCCGGGAGCCCCCAGAGTCCGGCGTGGGACCAGCTGCCTGAAGACAGGCGGGCGGCTTGGAGTCCCGCGGTCTGGACAAGTGACACCCAGGGCGAGGAAAGGACCCCGCAGACGGCGAGTGTCCTCGGGCAGCTGGAACCGGCTGCAGCCACCCCGGGAGCTAAGGCTCCTTCCGCCCCCGATGCCGACGCTCAGCCCCTGCAGGCCAACAGCCCCAAGGCCTTTGACCCGGACAGCGGGGCTCTGCTGGCCAGTGAGTCCCAGCTGGTGATGGAGGAGGACTCGACGGACAGCTCGAGGGACCTGCAGTTCCAGTCGTTCCCTCCCTCCCCGGGGGGCAGCTCCCCGCCCTCGCCGGGCCCCCGGCAGCGGGGCCTGGGCAGGCCTCTGGACTCGGACCTGTACGAGGCGGACGAGGAGAACGACTACATGCGCTCCATGAGCAGCCTGCTGGGCGGCGGCGAGGGCTCCATCAGCTCCCTGGCCGACCTCCTGGTGTGGTCCGAGTCCACCATGGGCATGGGCATGGCCGTGGGCTTCCTGGCCTCGGGCCACAGCTCCCCCACGGACCTGCTGCACAGCACGGGGCCCAGCCTGCGCTCAGTGTCCAGCATCCTGGGGAACGCCAGCTCGGCCTTCTCGTCCGGGCTGACTTCCGGCACGGGCTCGGCTCTGCGCTCCGTCACCCACGTGCTGGAGACGGTGGAGCGGCGGACGATGGAGGGCATCCGATCCGCCATGCGCTATCTCACCAGTCACCTCCCTCTGCGCCGGGCCCACGCCGGCCCCAACGGCGACTAGACTCCGCCCACTAGACCCTGCCCACGGAACCCCAAAGGACTGGCACACGGCTCTGCACCTCGGACAGCCCTGGGGCCCTGCTGCCTGGCCCGCCCCTGCCCTGGACGGCTCCCGCAACACCCAATAATAAAATCACCGGAGAGCGTTTATTTTCTAAGCGCCAGCCTCACCCGGTGTCCATGCGGTGGGCAGCAGGGCGGATGGACACGAGGGGCTCAGCTGTTCAGGAAGCAGACTGTCCCCTGGGGACTTACGCGTTGTACAAATTTAGGAGCCGGGGGCAAAGCTGCAGAATTAAGAGTGTGGCAGGGCTGGGGGGAGGGTGTTGGGGTCTCAGACCTGCAAAACCCACCCCAGCTGGACCACCACCAGGTAGGTTCCGAAAGAACCCACACCTGGGCCTGCCCCAGGCTGAGCTGGCCCAGCAGGCTGCGGTCACCTCGGTGTGGCTCTGAGAGTCAGTGGAGGGTGGAGGGGGGAGGCGCCAGGTCAGACGGGCGTGTGTCGGGACCTGCGCACCGCCACTTGCCCTATGCCGGCGCCTCACTCTCTCTCTGAGCCTCTGTTCCCCAGCGTGGAACAGACAAGCTTCCCATCCCAGCGGTGCTAGGAGCCAGAGGAGTGGCGCAGGCCCCGCACGGAGTCTGGCTCTTTATGAGCACCCACACCGCAGCTGCTGTTATCACCACCCTCCAAGGACTGGAGACGGTGGGACAGTGACCCATGTGAGGGCCACCAACCAGGATGCCTTGGACTAAGGGGGTTCCTGGGATGCAGGGCTTTCAAATTGAAAACTGGGGCTGGCGTTGTGGCCTAGCTGGTTAAGTCGCCACCTGCAATACCTGGATCCCATTTAAGTGCTAGTTCGAGTCCCAGCTGCTCCTGATTCCAGCTTCCTGCTAACACGCAACCTGGGAGGCACCAGTGATGGTTCGGTGGTTGGGTCCCTGCCGCCCATGTGGGAGACCAGGACTGAGTTCCTGGCTCCCGGCTTCAGCCTGGCCCAGCCCCGGCCATTGCAGGCATTTGGGGAGTGAACCAGCAGGGAGAAGTGCTGTCTGTCTTTCTCTGTCTCTCTGCCTTTCAGATAAATAAAACAGAAAACTGCAAACCAGATGAGTTTAGACCTAGGTCTCTTCTTGCAGTACTAACTGTTGTCTTCAAGTCTTGGCATCTCAGAAAGTACTAGCAAGGGCAAAACGTGAGTGCAGGCGAGGGGGAAGCCGCTAGCTCACTTCTCTGAGAAGAACCGAGGGGTGTAAGAGAAAAACCGAGGGGCACAGGCTGTTCGGGATCACGGGCAGCTGAGCCGCCGCCCTGGAGGCACAGGCTCACTACCCGCCCCGCCTCGCCAGCTGTGTTAGTGGCTGACGTCACCAGCCTGGCCCTTGCTGCAGGTGGCTCACGTAAGGAAGTCAACGCCAGGCCCCAGGGGGCTGTGGAGATGAGCCAGGTGTACCCCGTTTCCTCCAGCAACTGCCACTTCCTGTGGGTGCAGCAAGGACCCACGTCGACAAAGCAAGTTATTGAGGGGCACAGGATGGAGCTGGATCCCAGCAAGAAGGGGCCTCCGACACGCAGAGGCAGACCCCAAGAGAAGGGAGAGGATGCCCCAGACAGAGGCGGCAGCGGGCTGGACGAGGGGCCTGCTGGGCGGCCGATGGGGGAGGGGAGGGCAGACTGGGGCCCCCTGCGGGGCACACAAAGCTGCCAGGTGGACCCCGAAATGGGCTCGTCCATACTTCCCGCCAATATGTTTTGACATCTGCCGCATGCCAGGTACTGCTAGACACTGAGACCACAAAAGGCGACCCGAAGGTCAGAAGGCACAGAAACCAAATCCAAGCCATGTAAGGAAACGGATGGTGTGGCGGACATTGTGGTCCAGCCCGTTAAGGTGCCGCTTGCGACACCAGCATTCCACATCTGAGTGCTGGCTCCAGACCCAGCTGCTCTGCTCCCAGTCCAGCTCCCTGCTCGTGCACCTGCGAAAGCCGCGGAAGACGGCCCAAGTGCTGGAAGCAGCTCCTGGCTCCTGGCTTTGGATCGGCGCAGCTCCAGCCATTGCAGCCATTTGGGGAGTGAACCAGAGGATGGAAGACCTCTCTGTCTCTCCCTCTCTCTCTGTAACTCTACCTCTCAAACAAATAAATAAAACCTTTAAAAATAAAAAAATCAATCAATCTCTTTCTCCATATCACTCAAATAAATAAATCTTTAAAAAAAGGGGAGGGGATGGCCCAGCTGCCTAGCGGGGGTGTGGCTGGATCCAGGCCCGCCCATCTCCTCATCTCCTCTCTCCTCGTCTCCTTGTCTCCCGGGACTTTGTCTTTCCTGCTCTGCTCACCTCTGCCGGCCTCTTCCCTTCCCAGCTGACTCGGCCAAATTTCTAGAAAAGGAGAGAAGCTGCTCCCCCACCCCCGCCCCGCCTCGCCGGCTCTGGTAGAAGAATCCTCAGGGCTGGCCGGGCCCTGCCCCCCAGCCAGGTGACAAAGTGCCCTCCCAGGACCAATCACCGAGGTGACAGGAACACAGCACCTTGTCACCTGCCTGGGGCAGGGCCAGGCCTCCCCCCAGGCAGTCCTCCTGGGCCAGCAGAGGGTGGACGTGCTGTGCTCCACAGGGCCTGGGCTCCCTCTCTGCGTGAGAAGAGGGAGTCAGTGCCCCTTGGGAAGCAGCCCGGTTTTCCACACCAGGAGGGGGAGCACAGCGGGGTCCCCCTGGGTCTCCCAGGAAGAGAGAGACTTCACTAAGCACCCCTGGTCTGCCATCAGGGCCCCGCCCTGAGCTCAGTCCCTCCCCTTTGCCTTTCTCTATGGGGTTGTGCTTAGAACGGCACCAAAGCCCCGCAGCCCGGCCACGTTCCTCCCTCCGCAGCACCTTGTGCGTGTGAAACATTCAACATCAGAGAAAATTTGTCGGCTTGTTGTCCAGACGCAGTGCAGTGTTGTATTTGTCCTCCCATCGTGGGAATTCAGAGCTTAGTCCCCCAAGTCTTACACTGATGCACCAAGGGGGTGGGAACTCCACATAATTGCGGGGTTCAGAGGGAGGGTCTGGGGGGGTGATTCGATTCCATTGCTTGGCTGGGGCCCCCAAGGTTGAATCCTGGTGATCCCAGAGTTGAGAGTCCCCTGCATGGAGGGGACCGAGCTGGTGCTGAGAATTGAGGTGCTGTTAGGTAGGAAGTCAGTATGAGCTTATGCGTGTGTGACATAAAGGCCTAAAGAGAAGACGTCTATGTCCAGCACACGCATCTGCTGACAATGTTGCAGGGGCAGCCCGGTATTCACATCCTGCCCTGCCCCCTTCTACCTGATAACCTGCCAGGTGGGGGTCCCCGCCCCTTCTGCCTGACAAATCTTCCACAGCCCCCCAGATGCAGCCCAGGGTCTGCATCTCAAACACCCTGCTCCGATCCCCATTCTCCAGGGGGTCCTGCTCACCCTTCCTCTGAACCCAGGACGGCGCCAGCTAGGCTTCCTCCTGTCTGATACCTTCAGGGGAAAACTCAGATGGGAGCTTCTTAATATTTACAGTCATAAAATCCTTTGTTTCAGGAGGAGATGTGTGAAGACAGAGACCCGTCTCCTTAAAACCCCCGGCCTCAACCGGACTGCACGCTCAGCCCTCTGCCTCTCTGCTGAGCCGCCCGCCTGCTCTGGCCAGGTGTACTCTCTCCACTCAACCATGTAACCTCCACCCCCCCGCCAGTGTCTCCCCATCCATCCTTACGGATGTCCCTTCCCTAATAAACCTTGCTATTTTACCTCCCACTACTCTCTGTATCACGCCTGAATTCTTTCTTGCACGAAGACAAGAACCCTGCAATTTCTCCGGTAACAGTGCCACACCTTCTAGATCCCCCGCCCAAGCCTGGGGCCTGCTCACCACCCCACCCCCACTGTGTGTGAGCAGGCAGCCTTTCTCTAGGCGGGACAGCCATCCCTGCGGACGGCCAGGAGTCCACGGCAGGTTCAGGGTGCTAACACCCCAGCTCGCCAGGGCTCGGCTAGCCCAACATACCAGCAGGGCCTGGCAGACGTCACGAGGCACCACGTGGCCTCCGCCTCCAGTGTGGGCTGCCAGACCTCCGTCAACAAAGGCCTTGTCCCCTAGTGCTGGGGGGGGGGGTGTGTGTGTGGAGCTGGCAGGGGTCAGCTCAGAGCAAGCACCTCGCCCAAGGCCGTGCTGCCCCGTGGCGCCAGCAGGGGCCGGCGTTGAGCCTTGGCGGCAGGCTGCACGTCCTCGGCCTGCCCCCGCGGCACACTCCTCCTCCCAGGGTGTGATGGGAAATAAACATTTTATTTAAAAATAAAGCACACCAAATCCTGGCTCAGGCCCTGTGCTCCAGGAAACCACAGCTCCGAGCAGAGGCAGAGAGGTGTGTGCTTGGGGAGGAACCCACGAATTCACATGATGGGAAAAGTTCAAAGAATTTTTTTTTTGACAAAAGGTAAGAAAATTGAGGCCACTTGGAGGATGATAAAGGCCTGAATGTCTGTCACTGTTTGTGCGCTGGAGGGACCGTATTCTTTGACCCGCTGGTTAAAATCATCAGGTGACCATGGTCCAGTTTACAGGTGGGATGTAGGCACAGGCTCTGTCAAGGAAAAGAAACAAAAAAACAAAGTGATCACAGATAAGAGCAGACCCCAAGGAGGGTGTGATGAAGCGGGAAGGTAAGTTGGATGACATTTAAATATTCAGATGAAAGATGGGAGACCTCCCAGGGCTACCGAGAGGCTCAGAACTCAGAGGCGCCCTCTGCTGGAGGGAGCAGCTCCGCCCAGGCGGGCAGCAGCACAGGCCGGGACTTGAGGGGTCACCTGCGGGTCCTCTGGGCTCTATTCCTTGTGGAAGCTTCTTGAGGCTCCTGGCCCACAGGCTCATTCCGAGTCCAGAGTGGAAGGCGTGCGGCAGAGGCTGGCCCGGGCTCCAGTGCCTCTCCACCTGGAGCCTGCTCCCCCCCACCCAGGAAGGAAGGGCCAGGGGCAGCCTGACCCCTTGGCTCCCCGGGTCCCTGCTGCTCCATCGCCTTTCTGAGCAAAACAGGCCGGGACCCCCGATGGGGTCAGCCAGACGGCGCCCACTCACAGGCCCTGGGACAGGAAGCTGGGCCACAGCTCTCTCCAGCCACGTGCTTGGGCAAGAGCCGAGTTATTCCGATCTTCGGGCGCTCCCCCAGACTTCACGGCTTGACAATGATTCCTGCGCAGCGCTGAATTTCAAATGTCAACCAATGAGGAAGTAAGTTTCTCCTAAAACACTCGCTTTGCTACCAGCCGCCTGTATTGCATTAGTGCTTCTCACAATGCAATCCTTGGCGAGGAAAGACGCCGCCTACAGATGGCCTCCGCCGCGTTGAACTTGGACAAGGCCGGCGAGGTCCTCCCAGAGCGACAGACTGGCCCCCGGCCCCCATGGGGTGGTCAACTCAGGCAGAGCAGGACAAGGGCCCCTGCCACGGTGTGAGAGGGGCAGGGAGACGGGACACCCTGAGCACCAGCAGCGTGGCCTGGCCTTGAGGAAGTGAGGGGCACACAGCACAAAGAGCGGCCGCCCAGGTGGCCAGGCCCAGGAACTTCCTGGGTGACCCGAAGGTGTGCTGCCACCTGCTCCGGGCAGCATGGCAGGAACCCAGGCCGGCGAGCACACGAGGCTGGAACAGAAAACGGGGCCATCAGACACGGGCCGAGGGCGAACAAAGACCTCTCTCTGAGACAGAAATCCCGGCTGGTGGGGGCGGGGGGGGGGTATCGCTCAGGCCACAATGGGGCTTTCTCCGGCCAGCCTGGGGGCAAGGCAGGGTGTCTGGGCTGCAGCGGCCCAGGCGGCGCCGTCTCCTCGGAGAGAAACCGGTCTGGGGGTCCCGGCTGCCGCTCCGGGGCGCGGGGGTCCCGGCGGGGCCTGCGAGGCCGACAGCGGCCCCCACCGCCCGCGGCCCCGCCCCAGCCCCGCCCCGGCGTCTCCATGGCGACCGTGACCTCAGCGCCAGGGCGGGGCCGGTGAGTCGGCCCGGTTGCTGCGCAACGGCCCGGTGACGTCAGTCAATTGAGTTTGGTTCCCAAGGCAACCGGCCCGGCAGCTGGGCCGGGAACTATTTGTGTCCGTCCCCCGAGGGGCCGCGGAGCCTCCGGGGTCTGGCGCAGCTGGGGATGCGCGCTCCCGGCGGCCCGACACAGAGGCTCCTTCAGCGCCCGGGGCCGCGCCCCACGGAGGGGCTGTCCGGCTCTGCCCCCCGGCCCCCGGGCTCCGTCGGGGAAGCCCCTTGAAGAATGGGCCTCCTGTCTGCAGCTGCCCGGCCCGCACCGCCCCTTAGCCGACACACAGTAGGCGCGCAGCGCGGCGGTCTCGTGGAACCCAGCGTGTTCGCTGCCCCCCGGGAGCTTCCACGCGCCCCGAGCACCCCTGAGAGCGAGGGCCCGGTCACCTGTCCTCGGTGCCCTGGGGAGCGGGGAGATAGAGACGCTGGGGCCACAATGCAGAGAGAGCCCCTTAGTTCACGAGGGTTAGAGACGTGCTAGAGAGCAGGCCGTAGCCCTGCCCGCTGCGAGGCAGGGAAGACCCACAGGTGTGGGACCATAAGCAGTGACCAGTGACGTAAATTCGGGCCTGACCCACCACTGGGTCTCCAGCGACGCGGTGTCCTGGGTCCCCCTGGCTTGCTGTCTCCCGGCGCTGCCGCCACCTCCTGCAGCCCAGGAAACCGAGCACCTGTCTCCCGACCAGCCACCTGCCCTGGCCTTGGCGCAGGCGCTCTGCCCCTCCCTGTGGTCAGGGACTCTGAGCAGGGAGGGTGCCCAGCATCTCCCAGGCAGCTGCTCTCCACAGCTGGATCTGCAGCTGGGAACACTCCCACTCTGGGCGGACCTGAGCCATGTTCCCAGTTTTGTGCGCGAGGACATCAAAGCCCAGGGCTTGGCCAAGGATGCACCTGGGACCACCCCCAACCCGGGTTCCCCAGACTCTGCCAGCCAGTCCCTCAGAAAGCAGCGCTGGGCCCAGGACTCAGAGCCAGCGAGCAGGACCAGACGCAGAATCTGTGCGGCCCAGTGCACGATGAGAACGAGGCCCCTGGTTCACCAATCGAAAACGTCAAGACAGAGGAGGGCGTTAAAGGAGGGTTGGGAGGTGGGGGCGAGGGTTGAGGTGCAGCTGGCTAGGCGTGCCCAGAGTGGCGTCCCATCTCCACTTCTGATCTCACCTCCTGCTAATGCAGCAAGTGACAGCTGAAGTATGTGGGTCCCAACCACCTGCTTGGGAGGGCCGAATGGAGTTGCAGGCTCCCAGCTTCACCCTGGCCTAGCCGAGGCTGTGGCAGGCATCTGGGGCATGAGCCAGCAGATGGAAGATCCTCTCTCTCTCTCTCTCTCTGTGTGCATATAGGGTGGGACCTGTACAGTGGACCAGCTTGTGCTGCTGGCCAGGGTGGTGCATGGTAGACACCAAGCCAGCCTCCTTCCCAGACACATTCCACCTGGTCCCCCTCTCGGTGTCCATCTACTGGACTCTCCCAGGCGGCGGCTGCTGCCATCTCCCACTCCACACGGCCAGCCAGGAGGTCCTCGGAGCAGCCCACTGCACATCACGTGTGGGGAGGTGCCAGTGCTTTTCCGACATAGTGCCTAAACCAAAGAACACTTCCAGAAATGTTGACCCTTGGCTTCCGTTTCCAGCCGCAGGGTACCTACATAAAGTGATAGAATCCGAGGTGTAGTATCTAACTGGTGAGACTGGGACATCCATTAGCATGTAAACAGCAAGAGTCAAGTCAAGGAACGAGCCTGGCGGCCCATTGTGGAACAGCTGTTAAGCCACCACCTTAGATACCTGCATCCCATAGGGGCACCAGTTCGAGTCCCGGCTGCTCCACTTCCAATCCAGCTCCCCGCTATGGCCTGGGAAGGGCAGCGGAAGATGGCCCGAGTGTTGGGGTCCCTGCCACTCACGTGGGAGACCCAGAGGAGGCTCTTGGCTTCGGGCTTCAGCCTGGCCTGGGCAGGGCCACTGCGGCCACCTGTTGTGGGCCAGTGGCTGGAAAAGCTCTCTGTGTGTGAATGCCCCTCTCTCTGAAGCGCTGACTTCCAAGTGAATGAGTCCACTTTAAAAGACAGACACCCCCGGCCGGCGCCGCGGCTCACTAGGCTAATCCTCCGCCTAGCGGCGCCGGCACACCGGGTTCTAGTCCCGGTCGGGGCGCCGGATTCTGTCCCGGTTGCCCCTCTTCCAGGCCAGCCCTCTGCTGTGGCCAGGGAGTGCAGTGGAGGATGGCCCAGGTGCTTGGGCCCTGCACCCCATGGGAGACCAGGAAAAGCACCTGGCTCCTGGCTCCTGCCATCGGATCAGCGCGATGCGCCGGCCGCAGCGCGCCGGCCGCGGCGGCCATTGGAGGGTGAACCAACGGCAAAGGAAGACCTTTCTCTCTGTCTCTCTCTCTCACTGTCCACTCTGCCTGTCAAAAAAATAAATAAATAAAAAAATAAAATAAAAAGACAGACACCCCCAAAATCCCAAGGGCCTGTCTGAGGCCTCCTGCCGTCTGCATCAAGCCCATGACCCGTCTCACTCTGGCCTCCAGGAGCCCAGGAGAGAGCTTCGGCCTCAGCCCACCTCTCCCC